TCTCTCCTGCCCGGGCTGGCTTTGAACCGCGATCCTCAGATCTCAGCCTCCTGAGTAGCTAGGATTACAGGCGTGAGCCACCAGCGCCCAGCTGTCCAAAATTATATTCTTATACTAGTATATTGTATACTTTAAAAAATGAAAAAAATAGTTAAATGCTTGTGGCTCACATATCTGTAGATATTCATGAAGATGAGACCTGAAGATTCATAGTTTGAAACTAGCTAGGGCCAAAAAGCTCATGAGCTGCCATCTCCAGTTAACCAATGAAAGGCAGAGCTAGATGCATAGCTCAAGTGACAGAGGGCAAGCTGAGCCAGCATGAGGCCTGAATTCAAACCCTAGTACTGCCAAAAAGAAAAGGAAATGTACAAAATATAGATTAAAAATAACAATGAAGGGGCTGGGAAAGTGGCTCAGCAGTAAAGTGCTTTCCTTGCATGCATGAGGCCTTGGGTTTGATTCCTTAGCGAACATAAACAGAGAAGGCCAGAAGTGGTACTGAGGCTCAAATGGTAGAGTACTAGCCTTGAGCTGAAGAACTCAGGGACAGAACCCAGGCCTAGAGTTCAAGCCCCACAACTGACAAAAAAAAAAAAAGAAAAGAAAAGAAAAGAAAAAAATACTAATGTATAAAATGAAATATGACAATATAGTAGTATGAAATACACAAAATATAAAATAAATTTAGGTATGCAGCCCCCCATTGGAAACTATAGGTCTCATTAATATGTTTATGAATAATTTTTTAATTAAATGAGTAAATCTTCCAATCTCAAAGATAAATATCTAAATTATAGAACAATACATATATTGGACTTTCTATAGCAATGATCTAGAAAGCCTTGCAAAAGCAACAGCTGAGAAAACTTGAGTTGATAATGGACACAGTAGTCCTTTTCAGTGGGTATAGAACCTCATTGTTCCATGTGTTTGTAAATAAGAAGTATGACGGGAATCACGTACAGTGGAACACATCTATACTCTCAGTTACAGGGAGCTGAAGCAGGAGTATTTTTTCAGTACAGGAGTTTGAGATCATAGACAACATAGCCCATCTCAAAATAGAAAATAACAACAACAAAAGAACTGGTGGCTCATGCCTGTAATCCTAGTCACTCAAGAGGCTAAGATCTGAGGATCATGGCTAAAAGCCAATCCCAGCAAGGAAGTCTGTGGAGCTGTGGCTCATGTGATAGCATGTTAGCCTTGAGTGATAAAAGCCAAGTGAGTGCATGAAGCCCTGAGTTCAATCCCCAGTCCCAAGCACCAAAAAAAGAAAAAGAAAAGGAAAGGAAGAGAAGGGAGGAAGGAAGGAAAGAGGGAATTATTAGGCAGGATGGTAGTTCAGTGGTAGAACATGTGTTTAGCATGCATAAAGCTTTAGTTTCAATCTTAGCACCAGGAAAGAATTATGACTAGAGAATCCTAAGACTTCCAGAAGGCTAAAGTTTCTAGCTACAATATCAGTGAAACCTAGATGACTTCAATAGCTACCATCATTCTCTGGGTGATGGCTGTGGATGGCATAGGCTAGTACCCAGTGTGTGGACTCCAGGGAGGACTGGTAAGCATGGTCTCTAACATGCTCTGGTGCACCTCTGGCATTGTCCAGAAACAGTATCACACCTAGTGTGTGTGTGTGTGTGTATGTGTGTGTGTGTGTGTGTGTATACATATATATAGATAGATAGATTATAAAGAAAAGACCAATATTATGCCGGAGTCAGTGGCTCACGCCTGTAATCCTAGCAATTCAGGAATCTGAGATCTGGGGATTGTGGTTCAAAGCCAGCCTGGGCAGGAAACTCCATAAGACTCCTATCTCCAATAAACTACTCAGAAAACCTGAAGTAGTGCTGTGGCTCAAGTGGTAGAGTGCCAGCCTTGAGCTGAAGAGCTGAGGGACAGCACCCAGGCCCAAAGTTGAAGCCCCTTGACTGAAAAAAAAAAAAAGACGAATATTTCCCATGTAGATTGAACCTAAATGTTCCCTCAACCCATATGTTATATGTGATATATATCATTGAAGTTTAATATGACTTATACCTACTTATCTTTGAGTTGTAGATCAATATAGAATGATATTTTTTAGTATTAACTAAAGGAAACCTCTAAAAATAACCTTAGCCTTAAAAAAGTCTTAAGAACTTACGATTTAAAATGCTCACTTTGGCAGAACATACACTAAAATTGGAATGATACAGAGATTAGCATGGCCCCTATGCAAGGATGACATGCAAATTTGTGAAGCATTCCATATTAAAAGTTATGATTTAAAAATGATCCTAACAATCATAGGTATAAATGAGTAATGGGGCACTGGTGGCTCACACCTGTAATCCTATCTACTCAGGTTGACAAAATCTGAGGATCTAGGTTCAAAGCTAGCCCAGACAGGAAAGTCCATGAGACTCTTATCTCCAAATAACTAACAAAAAGGCAGAAGTAGAGCTGTGGCTCAAGTAGTAGAGCCACTAGCCTGAGTGAAAAAGCTAAGGGACAATGCTCAAGCATTAAAAAAAGTTTGGAAACCATTGTTCTAAACTAGAGAATACATTTTTCCAGTTGAACTCAATTTTAGCATTAGAGACATTAGTAATTATTTTGTTCATTGAAACAGATATGTAACTAATAAACAGTATTGATAAGTTTGCAGATATTTCTGGTCAATCCTGGTTTTATCTTTCTAAACTTTTAAAGCATTTGCTTTTATTTATTTGTTTGTTTGTTTATTTATTTAATTTATTTATTTGCTGATCCTGTGGTTTCAACTCAGGGCCTTGTCCCTCAGCTTTTATTTTTGCTCCAGGGTGGTGCTCTACTGCTTAAGCCACAGCTCCACTTCTGACTTTTTGATGGTTAATTGGAGATAAGAATCTCAGGCTTTCCTTCTCAGGTGGTTTTGAACCTTGATCTCAGATCTTAGCTTTCTGAATAGCTAGGATTACAGGCCTGAACCATGGGGCCTAGCTTCTTTTTGAATGGGGGTAGAAGGTTTGACTCAGGTGGTAGAGTGTCAGCCAATGAACAAAATGTCAGATTTAGAACTCAAATCCTGAAGACTTGGAAAAAAATTATATTAAGTGAAGTAAGCCAGACCCAGAGAAACATAGGTCCCATGGTTTCCTTCATTTGCAATAATTAGTATACAGCTAGGATAATCTTACCATATGAGCAGAAAAGCTCAAAAGCTGTGTACATATGACCATATAAGATGATGCTAAGTGAAATGAACCCCAAGATATGGATACAAGAGGTCTTTCTTTGTTGTTCTTGTTTTTAATGTACTGTGTGATTTTTTTTTGTTTCTTTTGTATGTTCTTCCCCCTATGGTATATCCCCTGTTGTCACTGTACTTGATTTTGGGACCCTGCATCTTGTATACATTTGTCTAATTTGGGGAGGGGAAGGGGAATAACAAAATGCTGAAACAAGGACACAGAATGACCCATTGCAACAGTGATACTCACAAGACTCTATGTTGGAAATGAACTTTACAACTGTGGGGAGTGAGAGAGGTGGTGGAGAGAAGGGATAGCAACAAAGGAGGGAGTAACAATGCTGGACAAGAAATGTACTCATTGCCTTATTCATGTAACTGTAAACCCTCTGTGCAGCATCTTTACAATAAAATTAAATTAAAAAAAAAAGAATTCAAATCCTGGTCTCGGACCAGAAATAAAAAGTGGGTTGGATATGTGATGGTAGTATATCAGTTAGTGAGCACAAGTAAGATCAGGTAGTGAGTTTGAGTCCTAGTTGCACAATATTTTAAAAATAGATTGGGCTGGGAAGGTGGCTCAGTGGTAGAGTGCTTGCCTTGCATGCATGAGGCCTGGGTTCGATTCCTCAGCACCACATAAGCAAAAAGAAAAAAGCTGGAAGTGGCACTGTGGCTCAAGTGGTAGAGTGCTCGCCTTGAGCTGAAGAGCTGAGGGACGGCGCCCATGCCCAGAATTCAGGCCCCACGACCTGACCCTCCCCCCCCCCCAAATAGAATAGATTATATGTAGTCCCCCATTCCCTCCACTTGGAACTTTCCAGTTTTTTGAATCTGAATTTCTTGCTCTGGTCTTTGACCTCTCTCTCAGTGCTCATTTGCTTTCTTCCAATCTCTGTCTCATCCTCCACAGACAATGGGAAGCTTCCATTCATGGCTATGCTTCGAAACCTGTGCAACTTGCTGCGAGTTGGCATTAGCACCCGCCACCATGACCTTGTTCTGCAGAGACTCCAGCACTCGGTATGTGTGAGGGTGGACAGCCTGTGGCTCTACTTGAAGACTGATTATGAAAATGCTGCTGCTGACATAGTGGTGGCCAGGCTTTTCTGAGTACCCAAGAAAGGCCAGGGTCACCAGTCTGTTTCACTGTGGGCTGCAATAGGTGTGAAAATGCAAAGGCAGATATGTTGTCTGAAGTTTCAGTACGTCATTTGAGAAATTATAGTACCACTTAAGAACTTTCATTTTTAATTTCTGAGCTTCATGATTACCAGAAAGAATCCTTTTTTGTTGTTCCAATACTGGGGCTTGAATGCAGGACCTCAAACTTTTTGTTAGCTTCTGCTTAAGGCTGGCACTCAACCACTTGAGCCACAGCTCTACTTCTGGCTTTTTTTTTTTTTTGTCGGTTGTGGGGCTTGAATTCTGTGCCTGGGCACTGTCCCTGAGCTTTTCAGCTTAGGGCAAGTGTTCTACCACTTGAGCCACAGTACCACTTCTGGGTTTTCTGGAGGTTAATTGGAGATAAGAGTCTCACAGACTTTCCTGCCCAGGCTGAATTTGATCCTAAGATCTCAGTCTCCTTAGTAGCTAGGATTCTAGGCAGGAGCTGCCAGCACCAAGCAAGAATCCTTTTTATAATTTAACTAACCAAAGAGAGTATAGTATAAAATAAATGAGGGCTCTTCTATAATTTTATATTTCCTCTCTTGTATGTTAAAATGATGACTTTCTTTTCCATGTATCTGAAATTGTTTCCCTTTCCTCACCTTCCTACCCACCTCACAATTGGTTGGTAGGAATGAAGTGGTTACTTAATTGCCATGGCCTCCTCAGCATCCCTATTCTTCCTGGTCCTCTGCTCATGGTCCTTCCCTTGCTTTTCAGAAATCTGTGATTCATAGTCGGCAGTTTCCATTCAGATTCCTTAATGCCCATGATTCCATTGATAACCTTGAGACTCAACTCCGGAATAAAGGTATTAGTATTAGCTTCCTTCTTCCAATGTCTGCGTAGCTTTCAAGTCTAAATGAGACAGGCCCTCTGGTATTCTCAGCTCTTTATCTTGTAGACTTGGGGTGTGTGATAGGCAGAGGTCAGACACTTGCTAGCCCTGGGGATCAGAACATATTAGTGGCAGGATAAGATGAAGGAACAGAGGCTATCTGACTCACATGTTTTTCCTGTCACCACACAGCATTGCCCTTTCCCTCCAATTTAAACCTGATGAGGCGGATAATGAATAGAATCTTTAAAAATATCAAGAGGCCTGCTAATCCAAGACACTTTCGCAGCCTAAGTCGTCGGCAGCTTCGGGCAGCTATGGCAATACCTGCGATCTACAAGCAGCTGCAGTGGGAAAAGCTGAAAATAGAAAAGATCAGGTGTGTGTATGTGAGTGAGTGTGTGTGTGTGTGTGTGTGAGAGAGAGAGAGACAGAGAGAGAGAGAGAGAGAGAGATATCTGGGAGCCATAAGTATGAACTAGGACATGTTGATGAGGGGAGGGGCTTCACAATTGCCTGGGAACTACAGCTGTTTTTCTGGAAACATGTGCTTATAGTTATCCCTGTATAGATCTGCTTGGTTTTACCAACATCTCCTGCACAGCAAAACCTGACCTTAACATTTTTCTGGCTCTATTCCCTGTAATTATTTCATTCATTCCCACAGACTCTGTCTCTTTCCCTTTTTTTTAAAAAAAATCAGTTGTGGGGCTTGAACTGTGGGCCTGGGCACTGCCCCTCTGCTCTTCAGCTCAAGGCTAGTGCTCTATCACTTGAGACACAAGTGCCACTTCTGGTTTTCTAGTGGTTTATTGAAGATAAGAGTTTATTGAAGATAAGATTTAGCTGGGCGCTGGTGGCTCTCGCCTGTAATCCTAGCTACTCAGGAGGCTGAGATCTGAGGATCGTGGTTCAAAGCCAGCTCAGCCAGGAAAGTCGTGAAACTCTTATCTCCAATAAACCACCAAAAAACTGGAAGTGGCACTGTAGCTCAAGTGGTAGGCCACTAGCCTTGAGCTGAAGAGCTGAGGGACAGTGTTCAGGCCCAGAGTTCAAGGCCCAAGACTGACCAAAAAAAAAAAGTCTCAGATTTTCCTGCCTGGGCTGGCTTTGAAGCGCAATCCTCAGATATCAGTCTCCTTAGAAGGTAGGATTACAGGCGTGAGCCACTGGCGCCCTGCTTCTCTCTCTTCTTTACTGCTCTCTCTAACTCATCTATGGTTTATTGTATTGTTCTTTGTAATAATTGTTTTTCTTTTTATTTCTCTTTCTCTTTGTCTCTCTCTCTTTCGACTTGAGACTTAAATTCTCTTGCTTTTGCTTGGCTTCTCATGAGAGAAGTCTGGTGCTCTACCACTTGAATCACAGCTTTGCTTCCTACTTTTTGCTAGTTAATTGAAGAAAAGAGTCTCATGGGCTTTTCTTTCTGGGCCGGCTTTGAACTGGAAACCTAAGATATCAGGTTCCTGAGTAACTAGGATTACAGACATGAGCCACCAGTGTCTGGCTTATCATTTTTTTGAATCAAGTCTATACATTGCATTTGGTTGTTCCTTCTCTTAAATATCTCAATCTTCCTTTTACATCAGCAAACTGCTGTGAAACCAGATTCAAGGACTCCATCAAATGTCCCATGTTCTGGAATTGTGTGTTTTCCTAGGTTGTTTTTTAGTTTCATATCAGTTGGCATGAGCACTAAAGGCTTAAATCTAAGCAGGGTGCTGGTGGTTCATGCCTATAATCCTAGCTATTCAGGAGGCTGAGATCTGAGGATCTGGGTTCAAAGCCAGCGTGGGCAGGAAAGTCCGTGAATCTCCAATGAACCACCAGAAAACTGGAAGTGAGGCTGTGACTCAAGTGGTAGAGTGCTCGCCTTGAGATGAAGAGGGGACAGTGCTCAGGCCCAGATGACTGACTAAAAAAACAAAAAAAGACCTATGTATTTAGATTTAGTAATTTATTTTATTTTATTTTTTTGTCGGTCCTGGGGCTTGAACTCTGGGCTTGGACGCTGTCCCTCAGCTCTATCAGCTCAAGGCGGGCGCTCTACCACTGGAGCTACAGCGCCACTTCTGGTTTTCTTGTGGTTTATTGGAGATAAGAGTTTCACGGACTTTTCTGCCTGGGCTGGCTTTGAACCTCGATCCTCAGATCTCAGCCTCCTGAGTAGCTAGGATTACAGGCGTGAGCCACCGGCGCCCAGCTGTATACATCTTTATAATAACAGTTTTAATTTTTTTTTAAAGAAAAGAGAGTAAGGAAAGAGGAAGGAGGAAAGGGGAGAGGGGAGAGGAGAGATAACTAGGCTACCAATCTTCTATGAGCACTAATCAATCTTGGCATCACTCTAGGAGGGCTCATCAGACTTTTTTTTTTTTGTCAGTTGTGGGGCTTGAACTCTGGGCTTGGGCGCTATCCCTGCACTCTTCAGCTCAAGGCCAGCGCTCTACGCTTGAGCCACAGCACCACTTCTGGTTTTCTAGTGGTTAATCGGAGAAGAGTCTCACAGACTTTTCTGCCCAGGCTGGCTTTGAACCATGATCAGGCGTGAGCCACTGGCGCCTGGCACTCTTCCTATTACTTTTTTGCTGAGGCAGGTCTTGATATGTAGGCCATGCTAGCCAGGGATTCACTATGTAGTCCAGACGGGCCATCCTTCTGCCTAGCCTCTCCAGTGTACTATGTATGTATGTATGTATGCATGCATGCATTTATTGTGCCAGTACTGGGACTTGAATTCTGAGCTGAGTACTTCCCTTTTCATTCAAGGCTAGAGCTATATTATTTGAACCACAGTTCCACTTCTGGCTTTTTGGTCGTTAATTGGATATAAAAGTCTCACAGACTTTCCTGCCCAGTCTCAGCCTCCTGAATAGTTAGGACTATAGGTGTGAGCTACAAGCTCCTGGCAATTTTCTCCTTTTTTTTGGTTTTGGTTTTTGTTGTTTTTTGTTTTGTTTTTTTGGTTGGTTGTGGGGCTTGAACTCTGGGCCTGGGTGCTGTCCCTCAGCTCTTCAGCTCAAGGCTAGCACTCTACCACTTGAGTCACAGCACCACTTCCGGCTTTTTCTGCTTATGTGGTGTGTAGGAATCTAATCCAGGGCCTCATGCATGCAGGGCAAGCACTCTACCACTGAGCCATCTTCCCAGCCATGGCAGTTTTCTTCTTTAAAATACAGTTTTAAGGATTGGGCAGTTACACTTGCCTCACCAAGGAAGTATGGATTAAGTGTTAAGTGTGCCAAGCAAGTAGCTTTATAGGTGACTTCCCCTCTCCTGCCATGAGAATGGATTACAAAAGTTCTGTAGCATGGGGAAAAGGCAACCTTCCTTAGCAAGATTGGAGGCAGCAGTGGGAAGATGGGTGGTGCTGGGAACTAAGAAAGAAATCAAAATATTTATATGGTGACAAGGTCTTGTCCTTCCACCTGCCTCAAAGTGGCAGGCAGACAAGGGCCTGAACCTATGCCTGACTATGCCTTTCCTTCCTGCAGACAATGTCATGATGATGTTGAGATGCTGGACAGGTACCGCCAAGCCTTGGAAGCAGCTGTGAACCTCTCAGTGAAGCACAACCTGCCCCTGCTGCCGGGCCGCACACTCCTGGTTTACCTGTCAGATTCTGGTGCAGATAGAATCTGTCCCAAGAGTAACACACAAGGGGTAAAAAAATGAACTAAAATAAAACAAAACAAAAAATAAGCCAGGTGCAGGTGGCTAATGCCTGTAATTCTAGATACTTAGGAACTGAGAGCTGAGGATTACAGTTTGAAGCCAGCCTGGATAGGCTATGAGCCTCTTATTTCTAATTAGCTATCAAAATAGCCGGAAGTGGGAATGTGGCTCAAGTGGTAAGCCACAGCTCAGAAACAACACTCAGGCTTGTTCAAGCCCGAGAGCCAGCACTAAATAAATAGCATTTTCTAAGGGGGTTGATAGGATTCTGGGAATCATGAGAGGTATATAGCCCAGGCTGGCTAGAAACTATGTAATCCAGATTGGTCATGAATTCACCATCTTCTTGCCTAGCTAGATCTGGTTTTCCCAGGAAAGCACACAGACTAATTAAATAACGTGGATTTGCTTCCAGCCACCAGTACTTGGACCCTAGGCTTTGGTCATAATTCTCTTTATGGATGGTAATACTAACATTTCACATTGGCTAGTACTTAATATACTGGATTTCTGTCCCATAATATATATCTCAGTTTCACCTTACTACTCCATCCAAGTATTGAATCTGGGAAGCGATTCTAGCTTTGCCTCACCCCTACAATCAGCTTTTCCTGAGGGCTGATGAAGCTGACCCATCCTAACTGGAGACTTGGCCCTTTTCCATTTCCCCAAAGAAGCAGAGGTATTTGGCCTCCAGAGTTGCAGGGAAGGGGCAGGGATAGATTATGAAAATGAAGGAGCTTTCTTTCACCCTAATGTTTGCCCTACTAGCCCCAACTGAATTATGTGCTGCTGCTGCTGGGAATGATGATGGCACGGGCAGAGCAGGTAAAGGTCTTGTTGTGTGGGAGAGGAACTCTGAAGACTGCAGAACTGAAGGCAGAGGAAGGTATTCTGAAGACTGCTGGCAAACTCCAGGCTCAAGTCCAGGTAAGACACTCACCATTCTATCCAAAACCATGAAGGGACACAAGCAAGAGAATAGCCTAAATAGGAAAGACATGGATATCCAGACATGAGATAAACTTGGGCATTATAGATGAGACCTTATCTCAAAACAAAAAAAAAAAAAAACAACAAAAAACAGGCATGGATACATACAGTTCTGAAGATTTCCTAAGCAGACTAGTTTGTTTTTTGTTTTTCTTTAATTGATTATAGTAGACTGCTTTCAAGTGCTACAATGAGAAACTGGAGACAGAGAACTTACTAGAGGCAAAACTTCAGCTCTGGGGGATGGGGAACACAGCATTGTCATCAGCATGGCTTTGGGGAGGACTCAGGACACAAAGGGAAGGAAGAGATCTTGAAACAGGAATTGAGAATGTGATTCATGAGTCAGGCTCAGGCTTTTACAGCTCATTCAACTCAATAGCCTCACTTGAATTACTATAGTAACATCCAAAAGCAGCTGGCCCAGTGATCTAAAGACCTCTCATTAGCCTCCCCCTTCACCCCCCCCCCATTTGTGCTGTTACTTACTAAGGCTTGAACTTAGGGCCAGGGCACTCTCCCTCTGCTTTTTTGCTCAAGGCCCATTCTCTACCGGTTGAGCCATAGCTCCTCTTCTGTTTTTTTTTTTTTTTTTTCTGGTTAATTGGATATTAAAGAGTCTCATGGACTTCTGCCTGGGCTGTTTTAAACTGTGATCCTCAGATCTCAGCCTTCTGAGTAGCTAGCATTAGAGATGTGAGCCACCAGTGCCCAGCTTCAGTATCTACCCTCTTAATACATCACAGCGGGGTTCAAATTCCAACATGTTAACCCTTGAGGGACACACTCAAACTATATGCAAACTAGAACACTACTCGCCTCATGTGCAACCATATGATGAGAATGTCTGTCCTTTAGGAGCTGGAGGAAAATGATGAATGGCCTCTGTTTACTTTTGGGAAGTACCTGCTGTCTCTGGCTGTCCAAAGAGTCCCTGTGAGTATTACTTGGTTCCTGTACAACTGATGTTTTCTTCTCATGTCTTGAGCCCTCAAGTCTGATCTGTCACACTATATATAGTCTTCAGATCAGCTCTCTCCTAGCTGCAGTCCCCTATCCAGTGGTATGCTGATAAATGTTTAATAATAAATGGAAAAACAAGACTTGGTTAATACCTTTGCCTATTTCCATGTTATAGTCCTGCCATGACTGACTAACTTTAAACTACCAACATTATATCAGCAAACATAGAAGAAAGGCTTAGTAGCATATTATATTGTATTACTGAGGATTAAATTTAGACGGCGTACTATTGTAAATATTTACTATTTACCATTGCCTCAACCCCAACCTCTACTTTAGTGTAACCCTCAAGTCAGAATTTAGTAACTTCTGTCATTCTAAGTATTCTCCTAATGCCCCAATCCTTCATTTTACAGGTCGACAGGGTCATCCTCTTTGGCCAAACGATGAATGATACAATGCTCAATGCAGCTAAACAAATGATTTGGCAGCATGTGAATTCCAAGTGTCTCTTCGTTGGTGTAGTCCTAAGGAAAGTGCAGTACATGTAAGGATGCTTGAACTCCCTACCCAATGTCAGGAGATCATGAACCACATTTCTTCTTTATTCCTGCCAAAGCTCTCATTTGTCTGGCACCCCCTGTGTATGCCTTCATAATTCTGTTGCATTTCAGATTCTAGAACTTTCTCTGAAGTCTTGATACCTTTTTGTGAAGCATCACCCTAGCCTAATCTATAACTTTATTAAAAGTGCAGAGGAGCCAGGCACTGGTGGCACATGCCTATAATCTTAACTACTAAGGAGGCTGAGATCTGCAGGTTGAGGTTTGACAAATCCAAGAGAGACTCTCACCTCCAGTTAATCACCAAAAACCCAGAAATGGAGGTATGGCACAAGTGGTAGAGTGCCAGAGTTGAGGGGAAAAAAATCTCAGGGACGGTGCCCAGGCCCTGAATTCAAGATCTAGAATTAGCACAAAAAAATAAAGTACAGAAGTGATGTGTGTATCTGAGGATGTTGGACAGTGACAGTGTATCCCAAGCTGGCTGACTTTCTTCCTTTTTTCCACCCTATTAATTCCACTCTTCCCTACCACCCTCTCAGGGCCTCTTATTCCACTTTATTTGCTTGCTCATGGCTGCTACTCAACACTTGGATCAGGCCTCCAGCCTGTTTTTAGCTGATTAACTGAAATAGAGTCTTTTGGACTTTTCTGCCCATGCTGGCTAAAAACTACAATCCTTCAGATCTCACCCTCCTGAATAGCCAAGAGATGCCTCTCTCCTCCCTGCTTTCTTTCCCTCCCTTCTTCCCTTCTCTCTCTTCTTTGGTGGTATCTGAGTTTGAACTTAAGATCATGTGATTTAAAGGAATTGTTTTGGTTTTGTGCTGATACTGGGGCTTGAACCCCAAGTCACACTTTCTCTTAACTTTTTTGCTTGAAGTTGGCACTCTACCACATGTGCCATACATCCATTTCTGGGGTGTGTGTGTATGTGTGTGTGTGTGTGTGTGTGTGTGTTTAATTGGAGATAAGTTTCTTGGATTTGTCTGCCAGGGCTGACTTCAAACTTCAATCTGCAGATTTCAGCTCCTTGAGTGAAGATTACAGGTGTAAACCACCAGCACTCAGCTGTTTGTTTGTTTGTTTTGGAACAAACAGTATATTTCTTGGGCAGACCTGGAACTGCAAGTTCTCCTGCCTCTGCCTCCTAAGTGCTGAGCTTAGAGATATGAGCCAGCATATCTGGCTCAGTCATTGTTTCTGATGCTTAGTGATTGCTTCTTGCTTTCCCAGGTCACCGAATTTGAATCCCAGGGATGTGACACTCTCAGGCTGTACTGATGGGATACTGAAGTGAGTATAAAATGAACATGAGGGTTAGAAGTTTTGTTAGATCTTTTTAAAGAGATTATTTGTGTCTTCTATTTCATTCACTTTTAAAATGTTTTCTCTCATATGCAGAAGCTAGATCTAAAATAGCCCATGGTAAATTACCCAGGACTCTAGGAATTCACATACATAGAGACTAGAGAGGATATTGTTAGGGGAGGAACACAAAGGCATAACTCCTTTGAACATTTAAAACACTATTTATTGAAAAGAATTCCAGGAAATGGAAACATGAGTGGTTTTTTTTTAGTTGTTGTTGGTGGTGGTAGTGGTGTTTGTTTTTGCTTTTTTGTTGCCATTCTTTTTTCTGTCTTTTGGAGGGAGCAAATGGGGTAGAAATGGAGAGAGGAAGGGTAAACAAATGAAATCATTGTACTCAATAGGCACTGTGGAAAATAAACTATGAAAAGTGAGCATGGACAGGATGGGGGAAAAATGGAGGAAAAGCAAAGGAAGGGGTGACATTGTCCAAGAAGAGATGGTAACAACATCTTAGTAAAAACAATAAAATTGTATTATATAAATTATAAAAGAAAGCAGATTTAAAATAGGGAGAAATGGAAAAGAGGGAGAAACATTTCTTGCTTCTTATGCAGGAAATGGAAATTAATGACTAAAGAAATTGCACTGTTTTCTTTTAAGGAAATAATTCAAAAATTGGTTGTACTACTATGCCCTCAGTTCAAATTTTGGTCCAGAGAAAGTCCCATCTATTTGTGATAATTACAGAAACCTTTTTACATTATCTCTCTCTCCACCTTAGCCTTTTCATTTGTTCCTTTTTTTCTCCATCTTTTCCTCTGGCTGTTACTCATTTCCTTAAATCCTATTAGGAAGCCTCAAACACTGAACTTCTTCTCTAGGGAGCTTTTGTGTTTGGTGTAGAGATAATCCAGCCCTGGTGTGGATGGTCTTACACTTGACACCTTAGCTCAGTTTTTCCTGAGTCAATAGAAATCTTTTTTTTTTCAATAGAAATCTTATGATCACTGGAGAAGCACTGGAGAGGCACTGGTGGAAAGGCTGGAGCTGTTTTCTTCTCTTTTCATTCACTTCTGTAGTTTTGTACTTTCACTTATTTTATCTGTCTTTCTTTTTCTTTTTTGTCTGTTATGAGGCTTGAACTCAGAGCCTGGGTGTTGTCCCTGAGCTTTTGTGCTCAAGGCTAGAGCTCTACTACTTTGAGCCGTAGCCAGCTCCACTTCTGGTTTTCTTGAGGTTATTTGGAGATAAGAGTCACACAAATTTTCCTGCCTGGACTGGCTTTGAACTTTGATCCTCAGATCTCAGCCTTCTGAATAGCAAGGATTATAGGCATGAGCCACCAGCACCAAGCTTAACTGTTTTTTTATTTTAAAATTTTTATTGTTATTATAAGGTGATGTACAGAGGACTTACAGTTACATAAGTCAAGTTATGAGTACAGTTCTTTTTGGACAATGTTATCCCTTCCCTTGCTCTCTCCTTTCTTCCTTCCTTCCTTCCTTCCTT